GCACATGATTTTTTTATGGGCCAGGTGAATTCATATAGTTCTTGTCCTGATTGTGCATTGGGACACAACAAATAAAAAGATTATTGCATATAGAGAAAATAATTGAAGAAGTTGCAAACATAAGACACTATAGCATATAGCTTAAAACCATTTTTCAATTCCAAAATATGAAACTAGTGCTTATTGCATGATAACATGCAAATGACACAAGCATGTAACGCTCACACTCATATAGCTTTAACCATTTTCATTACAGGAACATAATAAAGGGATAGCACCATACCTCCCATACTCATCAACAAGCATTCCTTCATTGTATCACGTTAGCGGTCATTTAGTGCTCTCTCTGTTCTTGAAGGGAATGACGAGAACTTCCAAATGATGCCTACGTTGATAGTCTCAATTTCCCTAATATGGTGACGGATGATATATTCTGAAAGTGTTTTCCTTTCAAGCCAAAGTTTCAAACCTAATAATTAAAATGACAAATTTGTAGAAGCAAAAGAAAAGGCAGTGCAGCATGTGATGTCTACTCTCAAGACCATCAAATGTACTTACCTTGAGACATTGCTTTTCGATTCTCCCATGCTGAGTTTCCAGGAGGTGCAGCAGCATAGAGAATTCGAGGTAGAACTGCCTGAATGAGAGAGGGATATACATCTCAGCTCCACCTGCATAATTTTTAATGTAATCATAAATACCATCATAAAAAAAATAATAATGAACCAAAATGGAAGGCTAACACCTACCTTTCTGATTATGGGAGCATTGTGTTATGAATCTACAAGAAAGAAGAGATCCACCCTCTTATAAATTTGATTCCTTTTCCAGGTGTTCAATGATGATGTCAATTGCCTAATCAATCAAACAAAAAAAAGAAGCATCAGAAAATTTTGATAGATAGCACTTTGGTGGAAGAAATAAAAGGGCCATGTGATTCTCTTCATAAGCTGGATGCAGGCAGCATGCACGTTTATGTAAATTTCACAAACTAAACTAGAATTTGTGAAAGTGGCATGTCTGACAGGATTATCACTTGTTATTTCCAAGTCCTCAAGCTTATAATATGGTTCCTCATACTATGTCTAAGCAAGTGAAAAATATCAGAGATGGCTCTCTTAGGTAACGAGCTACATACATCAAAATGAAATGTCTGCTCCTCAAGTTAGCGTAAGGCATATAAAACACATCATCACCATAGTAAAGAAAACCAAGAAGCGAAATCTCACGCTAATCAATCACCAAAAATCCAGTATATCAAACAAACCAGCTACATCAAAAAAAAATCCAAAAGCAAACAAATCAAGACAATCCCTAAAAACATCTAAGGTCACAGAGCATGAACAAAGAACTAGGAGTCTTATGGAAAGCGGTTTTTTATGTGAACAAATACAACAAAAGGAGGGATATGCAGAGTCTAACCTCACCAGCAATGCCAAATTGCTTTCACTCAATAGCAGCAGGCGTTAACCATGGCGTGATATACTTTCTTTGGTTCTTGTCAATGTACTGAGAAATCTTTGAAAGACCTTCGTTACTGCATTGGCTTCATCATGCCCTACTAATTTCTTCAGTTGAATATTATCAAAAGGACTCCTAGAATGAACATTATCATTTCCAGAGGTGGGCCTGATTATCCGATTTGAGGGTGACAACTGCCTGTGTGATCCTTCCTTGGGAGGTGTATTTATTGATGTCTCAGGAATATACTTGGCATTTAGGAAGTTATCTGGAAAGGAAGTTGATCGAGAAAACCTTCTAGCTTGTGCAACAGCTATAAGTTCTTTCATTGGCATTGAATCTGGAGAAGTGCTCCTGTCCTTAATTTTTCTATGGTTCAGTTCTTTCAATGCCAAAGATGAGAATGTATGCCTGCAAGACAAATAAGTAAGTCATGCCTTATCAGAAGGCTGCTTTGTAAATTTAAGCACCAAGTTGGAAGGTACAACAGAAGATCACAACAGCAAGACAGCAGCATGTTCAGGAACCTAATCTACAATATCCCTACTCTGTTTCACTATATTTTATCCATAGCAGACCAGGTGCACTAAATAAGTAACAGGTCCAGGAAAAAATAATGTGAAATGACTATCTGTACCCATATTAAATGTTATGATATAATCATTTCTCTTCTATCAAATAATTTAGTTAGGGGAAGGGAGTGAAGTATTGCAATAACTACACCTCATAAGTCATATCCTCCAGAGACAAACATTACAGAACATTTTCTGCCAAAGCCATGTGCAAAATAGTAAAACAAAGGGAAGCAATAAAAACTCTATAGAACTGTAGATATTGCATTCAGATTTCATAGAAGAATTACTTTAGCTTATGCTTCACAAGTTCACAGTTTGATTGAAATGAACAACAAAATCTACTCTCCATCCATTTTACAATATTTGTCCAAATTCTCAGGAAGCAGCGTCTCAAAAATGTTTGTGCATCACAAAAATGTTAGTGTATTTTAAAAAGAAAAAATTAAGTGCAATAACTCACTCCCCACCCCTACTTTAGTACTGTGAAGACAAAAACATGCAGGTTGATAGGGCCAGTCATATCTAATAGGGAGAATGTGTACTCATCTTCTTTTTTCCCTTACATTAGTGTTTCCTTGGTTTGTGCACATGTTGGGTTCAGATAAAAATACGGAGTACACCTTCAGGATAATAAAAATTAGATTTTAGTAAGTGGATGGCAGTCTAAAATGTATGACAGAAGAATCATGATCTTAGGAAACCATAAGTGAATATAAAGGTTAATACAGTACTTTCCATTCTTATAGAATATAGGCATCATGCTTAAGCTTAATAACAGCACAACACAAGAGCTCCAAAAAACATAGGAATTTTGAAGGATTTTCAGTTCCTATAGGAAAAAATCCTATGAAACCCTTTGGAACAAAGGAATGCTTCCCAACAATTCCTTTGAAATTCCTATGGATTGAGCCATAGGTAATTTTGGAGGAAATAAAACATGAGGTACAACCTCATTGTTTTGTTCCCGATGTTTCTCCTACATTGCTTCCAAAGGCATCTTCCCAAACCTTCCTTTGTTCTGAAATCTTGTAGGATTTGAAGTGTTAGGGCATTTCACTCCCTACTTTTTCCTATTCTGTGTTTTTATAAATCCTTTGTTTGAAGGGGGGCTAAACAATGGATATTTTCATGCTTCAAGCATGTCCCAATAATAACAAAATTGTGCTCTGCAAAATTAATCTCGGCCAGCTCAAAAAACCTATCAATTAGCAGTGTCCAGATATAGCATCTGGTGCACTGTGAGGTAGAAAACAGCGCCTTAGCTATTTCATATTTTTTCTCGAAGAATTGTGCAGCATAAGTGAATAGTCCACAGATATCCATCACCAAAATTATCATGACACAAGCACTTTGACTATTATTTGTAAAAAACAGGAGACTAGTTTTCAGAGTCCTAAGCCATCACATAGACCTAGTTTTGCATATGCAATTTCAAAAGTAGACATCTTTGAGTGAAAATAATCATCTCACATCATCCAGAAAAAATGAAGGCCCATCATAACACACTTAGGGAAAAGATGCATGTCAAAAATAGAAATGGCACATGTACCAAAAAATTGCAGAAGAGCAACATAGATATGTAGGTGCAAAATACATCATATATTCATGTTAAAAACATTAAAGGTAACATCAGCATAAAATAAGATCTTAGATCTTACACTTCAGATGTCCAGGTGTCTGCATCGGATTGTATACTGGATGATTTAGTAGCCAGTTGAAGAGTTGCTTGCCGTATCCCCACATTGTTCACTGAATCCACTACAATAGTCTCACTATGTTTGTATAGTGTTACTCATCACATTGTTGTTTGAATGGTCAATTGGTTCTGCACTTCTGTCAACATCACAAACAGCAGAGCCAAATGGTTTCGTCTCTTTGACACCGCTTGCTGACACATTTTCACTGGCTTTCTCCAAGACCGAAGACAACGGTCAGGTACAGATGTGGCTTGTGTAACATCAAGTGCAGGCCGATTCAATTTCACACAAAGGGCTGAAGTTTTCCCACAGGAATCATTATCTAGTTCACTAAAAACACAAGAACCATTGGCCGTTTTTAGTATCCATGAGGGTTTCTTCACAGGAATCATTTTCTCTTGAAGGAACTGAAGCAGAATCAGGAATGGTGTTAGTTTGTAAAATTGATTCTGAGGTACATTTTGCCCGATGGGTTTATGCACGAACTGTGTGTCTAAAGAAGGTTCAGGGCTTTGAACTATTACAGGATTATTGGATACTGTGACTACTGCATCTGCAGATTTATTAGAATGGCTGTTTGCTGTCAACAAAGAGCCATTTAGAATATTCATTTGGTCCTGTCACTTCAGGTATATTGTTGATATTCTCAGCAACATTAGCAGACATCGCTTCTAAGGCACGATGAAAGCGCGTTTTGAAGGAGGCAAAGCAGCTTCCACATCTAATGCTAAAATTTTTGGATGGTATTCTTTATTCTTCCAAGGAAGATGAGCTTCCTTGACAGGATAGTTGTGTCAAATTTGCAGGACGGACTAGAAGCAGAACTTATGACTGTGGACACCTTGATCAGCTGAGTAATCATTGGCAGGACTTGCAAGTTTACCATTCCTATCACATTGGTCCAAGGTTGTTGCAAGCTCTGGCTTCTTATTAGAAGCATCAATTTCATCAACTGGTGAATCCTCCAACTGAGACCTTTCCATTGGGACCCTTGCCCTTTTGACCAATGGCAAGTGCTCATCTCCATCTGACTTGCTTACTTCATTCTTTGAATTTGGAGAATCTGGAAGGATTTCACTGTACTCAGCACGTAATTGCTCATCTTTATTTGGTGTTGTACAATCTTTATAATGAGGAACAGGTTTTCTATCTGATTTTTTTTTTCTAAGTGAAAATTACTGCTGTGTTCATGGGTTAGACTTGATGTGCCATTTGATTTCAATTCTGTCTCTGAAGTTCCATTTTCAGATGCTTCACTGTTACAAGTACTATCCACCTTAGCAGGGAGGATTAAACATTCTGTTGCTGTTACTAGCCCCAAAGTTGGTTGGTTGGAAGTGCCTCCAGCAGAATGCAACCAGACATTATCTGATGTAGAAACAGAACCTGAGTTAGCTTTGTCATCCTCATGCCTATGATGACTGGAATGTTCCTTATGTTCACCAGGAACCAAATCAATAGAAGCCAAATTGGTATGATCAAAATTTACCAGAACCAGAACCTTGAGCCTTTCTCGATTCAACACTTATTGAACTTCTTGACTTCCGCAGAGATGGAACCCTACTACACATTGTGTAGCAATTTTGTGGCTGTGCATCCCTTTGCTTATTTGAAATGAATTAGTATGCATGAGAAATATCCCTCATTTCATCAAGGATGGATACATTTCAGCAGGCTCAGGGGCAGAATTTACAACACAGCGGCTACAAATCACCCATTATAGTGACTGAAGGCCTGTCAGAATTGACCATGTCATGACTCCTGGTAGTGACATAATGATCTTCTATCTTTTATCATTGTGCATATAGAGCTACTGACCAGATTTTCAGTATCCATGCAGCTATTATTTTCAGCAAACTTTTCTCGCCTGGCTTTACTTCTTGACAGCCAAGTCAACCTTGTATATTACCTTTATCCCTTAGAGAATCATAAACTTCAATTATCTCATCAACTGCTCTCAGAAATCAGCCCCTTTACCATATCGCTAAACAAGTAGAGATCTTTTTTCTCTTCAGTGAATGCCTCGAGATCAGCATAATTGCAGAAAGCACTGCAATAGAAAGAACTAAGAGTCACAAATAACTTACAGGTTGAAATGGTTCTAAAACATGATTTACTTTTTGAGAAGGAACTACCAAAAAGTGCTAATATAAGCTAATCAAAAGTAACAATACTCAGATGGTTCAAAAAAGAGGATGTTAAGAAGATACAAAAGAAACTCACAAATTCAAATAAAACCGAAAATAGCACTTACATCTGTTTAGTACCATAGAAATAAACCAGCGGTTTCTTTTTAGTAGAAGGCATCTTCCACTGCTCTGGTTCACTAATCTGCAAAAATACGAATATTCACAAAATGAACTAATTTCTTCATATTCCCTCACGAAAAGGTAACTTCTGAAAGTGCAAATGGAATTTCATACAAGCATACGCTCACATGAATACCGGCCCTACTAGGGTAGCCAGACCTAAAGTACAGAGAAATAGCACGAGTAAGCCTGTGGCATTTCATGAGAGTCATCTCCTCTGATAAAAAAAAAAATACAAACACATTTAGAAGCTTGTCCTAACTCCTAAGTCAAACTTCTTTTAACATTGACCATCACTATATATAGTGATATAGACAACACAAATTGGCATTACCAGATTAATTATGAAAAAGTATTCATGGTATACAAATCTTCGAATTTAAGATTATATATTTTATAGATATTACTAGTTGAAATGTCATATTGGAGAAAATGTCGATGTCCAAATAGGGTTATATTCATGACGAGAGTAAGTATACCAGTTGAACTTAAAATAAAGCCCCAAAAGAAAATGAATATACTGGGAACTATAATCACTCTTAGGAAAGTGTCCACAACAGCTACAGAGCAGACAGAAAGTTAACAGTATACCTTTTGATGAATACAGGATGAGAGAAATTTTACAACGACATCGATGTAACATGAGTTTTGACTGGAAGCACTTAAGCATTTCACCTAATAGTTAGGGCCTTAGGGGCAGAATGCAAAGAAAATAATGACACACTATTGAGACAGACACCATCACTTAATCTAATCAATATGTCATGTCAATAATGAACAGTATATTTGTAAGTGTTTATTATCCAAAATCACCCATAGCGTGCTTCCCAACATAAGAATGGCCAAGCCAACATATAGCAAGTAGTGATATTCAACCAAGCTTCTTGAGTCCATTCTATTTGTTCAGGTAAGGAATTGTGGGAGGCTGCATTTGGCATCACAGCACAGGACAGAAGATGCACTTGGTTCCATCCTAAATACTGGTCATTTCAGCAAACACAGGCTTAATACATCCCCTGACATTCCTGTAGCAGTCAATGCCAAGTTGGCAATGGCCCAAAAACATCACATACGGAGACTGAGAACTACCCATGTGCTCTCAAGTTCAGACCTTCCAACATCTCTGCCCAAACATCTCAATCCAAACCCACACACTTAAGTCACAGCATTATGGGCCCTACATTTATCTTACTCTACAATCATAGTAAATAATACGTGCAGGACAAGCTTTTGTAGTGTTTTACAATCCCTTTTTGCAATATTTGGACATCTGCACACATCTAATTTAAACAAAAGCAAATGACTAGCCATATATTTTGTTTAAATTAACTTCAAAAAATAATCTGCCTAATGAAATATATTTCACATATTTATTTTCATGCAATGGAACAAAATACAGGAATGGCGCATTACCAAAACATTCCATCCCAGAAACCAAACATAAGACTTACTGAAATAAATCAACAATTATGTGTTCAAATGTTCAATTAGGGTGCTGCGACTAGAAGGATTAAGAATACTTGCAAAGTGGTTTAACAAATGCGATGAGAATGAGAAGCGTTTTTGAGTGGAGGAGAAATTATAAAGAAAAAGAATCACAGCAAAAACTAGAACAACCTATATGGAGGGCTAGAAAATTGAATTAGATCTTTGTATCACCAAACAGGCATATACAAAGTCAGAAGAGCTCTATAAACTCAGAAGAATCTGCATGAAGTTGCTAAACATATGACACCTATCATGTGACTACCAATACCAATACTGAATAGAGGACATCTTTTAGCTTGTTTAACCCTTGGTCCGAATTTAAAACAAAACATGAGAGAACATTTAACGCGCACTTAGTTGCAGACCACTCTGTAGTATAGAAGCACGCATGCATATAATATTTCGCATAATACGAACACCATACACAAAAACAACAAATCTTATGCTATTTTTTCCCACTGCGGATGAATCCGAATTTCATTACTGAAAAGCAACGAAATTACAAAAGTTTGATGACATTCAAGAAGAAAATTTTATGCTACTTTAGAAGTGATAAAAAATGAAATGACAAAGTGCCACCTTGTGGAACCTAGGAAGCATCAGATATCCTGGCATCTGTAGTTGTAAACAGGAAGTACAAAGAGCCAGATCCCCAAGAACGAAGTCCATATCCTTAACCAGTTAAACATAACAATAAGCTATAAAATCCATAGGTCAAATTGGGTCGAAATCTTACTGCACATCCAAACACAAGGAAGATGGCCCCTAATCAGTAATCACCCAAATCCTACCCAGCCCCCGTGCCATAAATCACAAGTAACACCAGATCTCTACAAGAACCCAACATCTAAACAAACAAATCACCAAGAAATGAACCAAATTAGGCCAAAAAATGCAGTAGAAATCAGCCCCTAGTCCCTAAAGCTCAGCAGAAAGTAATGGAAAGGGATTTCTTTTACTAAAGATCCTATCTTTATTGAGCATGTGGTAACCAAAACCCTGCTCGCACAAATTCCCTGCGCTACGCAGCAACAGGAGGGCAAAATTAGCGCAGATTAATAGCTAAAATGGCCAAATCAGGGGTAGGGAGACCATGTGAAACCTAAGATTTAACCAAACCGGCTGCTGGGCAGCCCAAGACACCGGCCTTCCACGTCCCCCACCAAACCCTAAGCCAGAAACCCCGCCCAGACCCAGAATCCCCGGACGGCCGGACCCCAGGCTGCCCAGGCCACAAGGAGGCCACAGATCAGCGAGCAGAGCAGAAGGAGCTGTTGAGACGACGCGCTCACCATAGCCAGCCAGGCCGGGAAGCCCTTCATCTTGGCGAGCACGAGGTCGCCCACCTTCCACTTGGCCGCGGCAGCTGCCGCGGCGGCCGCCACCTGCCGCTGCGCTCTTCCTCTTCGCCAGCGCCATCGCCCGGTACCGCCACCGCCCCGCCCCGCCCGTCTACCAGCCCGCCGCCGACCCACGCCCACTACCGATCAGGGCTCACAGGGCGACCCGCGACGGCTAGCGCCTGCGCCCGTGGAGCAGCGGCGGGTCCACAGGAAGCCAGTGCTCGGCCCGCCCGTGGTCCTAGTTCTCTCAGCGGCGGCGGCGGCGGCGGCGGCGAGCGGAGGCATGGGAGGGGAGGGCCGGAGGGGGAGCAGGACTGTAGGAGAGGTAGCTTTGGGGATTTTTATTTTTTGGTTCTCCTCTCGGTATTATTTTGTGCGCGTTTTTTAGTAGTTTATTATTTGCTCGAGCCGTCGATCGTGCGACTGCGCTCGCGCTGTGCTGTGAGAGGGCGTGGGGTTGGTAGTTGAGGGTTTTAGATGTAAGTTTATAATTATTCATGCCATTAAAAATTTGAACGGATATAGGTGTCATTGGTCGAACTTTTTTTTCCCTCTCGTCATTCCATCCACATTTGATGCTAACGGTGTCGAACTACGATGAGAAAAGTCTAAATTGTCCTCGTGTCTTAGCGTCATGCAAAAGTTTTTTTGTTTCCTCGATCGAAAGTTCCGAACGATGTCTAGCACGTCCGCCCGTGACAAAGGCCGATGCTCATTCATTGTTGATGTGTGAAGGCATTAAAAGTTCGAGTGGATATAGGTGCCATTGGTCGAACTTTTTTCGCCTCTGCGCCATTCCATCCACATTTGATGCTAACGGTTGTCAAACTACAAAGTGAAAAAGTCTAAATTGCCCTCGTGTCTTAGCGTCATGCAAAAGTTTTTTGTTTCTCGGTGCCACCGAAAGTCTGAACGATGTCTAGCACGCCCACCGTGGACAAAGGCCGATGCCCATTCATTGTTGATCGTGAACCCACGGGCCGGCCAATGTAGGAGCGCGCTTCGACGGGCATGATGATGATGACGTTGATGGTGTCCACCATGGAGAGTGTCGCCGAGGGGCGAGGGGTCTTGAACTTGGGCCCCTTGTCTTTGGTCCAACATGTTGCCAAGTATCTCCGCCGCCATGTCCTCGATCGCCTTCTAGCCGGACGCACTCCGCTCCACCTCTCTTGGCCGGTTCAGCGTCTGCCCGCGCTCTCGGCCGCGCCTCACCACCATGTCCTCCGGGATGGCCACAAGCCATGGCGACGCCGGTGCCACCCGCACTACGACGCGAGCATGCCGCCGATGCACTACGCGAAGGCGTCTGGATGACCGCCTCATTCTCGATGAAAGAGAACGCCCCGCCAGGTAGCCTCTACAACGACTTGCATCGCCCGCCACATGCCATCGTGGTGCCCAACCAAAGGTGTGGATGGGTGCAGAGCCTGGCTACGCCGCCAACTGTCAGCACGGCGAGGATGGTGGCACCAAGACTCAGACACCGCCTGCCCGGCCGACGTGGCGTCGCGGCATCTCAGAGTTGTCCCTAGCCGTCGGAGAGAGAGAATGGTGGTGGAGAGCGGCGTTCCTGCATGCTGCACTTTCGGCGAGCACCTTGGAGGCCGTTCTAAGCAAAGCAGCCTGAATCACGCCTTGAGCTTCCTCGTGCGGGGATGCTAACCTTCTCCAATGAATGTTTAGAGTTTGCTTTGAACGCATTGCGATTCATTACTGATGAGATACAAATCACATTGGCATCCCATGCATGTGGGCTCCGGCAGACACCGTAGGCCCTCATTCTAGAGCTTGGCCACATTGCGGTCCCTAGAGGCTACGACGAAGCGAGACTTGGTCAAGCGGCGATGCGCCCACACTGTACCTCTCGCGCACCAGCTTCATCACCGTGGTCTTACCCACGCCACCGGCGCCATGGACGCCGAAGCAGACGTCCGCCTGATCGTCGAGGAAGCGGCGCCTCATTGAGGTAGGCCTCGCGGACCCCACCTACGCCGAGAGGCCCTCCGGCTCCTCGAGGTCCAGTGAGCAGAGCGAAAGGCGGCGCTGCACGGCGTAGGCCAACATGGCCGAGGATCGCCGTGTCCTCACTCCCGAGCGCCGCGCACCGCCTTGAGCCAGCTTTGCTCGGCAAATTTACCCGATCGATCCCATGCGGAGGAAGAGGCTTTGCACCGGGTGGACCACGTCTGATTGCTTGCCGTCGTGTGGCACCTTGATGGATGCCATCTCGTCCCTGCGGCCTCCCGCCGACGCGCCATAGCCGCAGGGCTCGCCGCGGATCCAACGACGACAGACGGGTCGTGGCCCAAGACTCGGACATTATTGCAAGATGGCCTCCACCGCGCGTCTGCCACTCGACCTCCAAGGGCGGTGCCGGCCACCTGTAGGGGCCACCACATCTTAAGAACAAGACTAAAGATCGCTCAGCCGAGGGTGGGCGAGCGGAGGAAGAAGAGGATAAGGTACGAGAGACAGAGGGCATTTTGACATATTCACCGGGCCGCCCACGTGTCAAGGCGGTCAAACCACCGTAAAAAGCGACAAAAGGTGGACGGAATGGCGTGGAGGGTAAAAAGTTCCGACCAGATGCACCTATGACCGCTCGAACTTTTAGTGGCTTATGGGTAATTACAAACTTTTATAATAGCATATAGGTAAAACCCTCTTGGTAGTTCGGTGGAAGAGGAAAGGAGAGGACTTGAGGAGGGCGTGGGAGGGGTGAAGCGGTTGCTGTTGCTAGGGGTGGGAGTGCGGGGTGAGCAGGGGCAAAGGCGGTCGTCGTGGTATGTGGACTGAGTGGCTTTGCTTCCCGCATGCCCGTCTCCATATCTGCCAAAGCTCACTTTGTTTGAGCTGAGGGTTATGTGGGTCGGACTCCACTTTTTACGTGTTTTTCTCGCTCCTATAATCACTTCTTTGTGTGATTTTTCCATACGTGGTGTTAGCCTAAAAACAAGGTGTATCATCCGCGGGTGGAATTAAAGATTCGCACCAAACCCCTAGTATTTCGGGTATGTGAACCGCAAAACCGTGGTCGAAAATCGCATCAAACCGAATCACGACACTGAAACCCATGGATATCCGCCCTCGAACTCGATCCCATTGCCATCCTTAGGTGTGTGTATATATAAATACTAGCAATTTGCCGTATGTTGCAACGGGAGAAAAATTATCAAATGTTCGACTTTTCAACTTGTTGCATAGCCGCAAATCTACGCAACCGCTTAAATTCGTGATACGTGATACTTTTTTGATGTTTGTGAATGGTCACTACACCGATCACAACGTAATGTGCTCGCTATTGGAATAAGAGGGTGACAATGTTGCATATCTATTTACTTTTTATCCTTTCTCTAAAATTTAAAAGTTATTCTTTATTTTATGATGACCATGACATCCATAATATAACGATAATGATACGCCAGGCGTCCGTCCAGACGGACCGACCCAATCAAGGCCAGCGCTGAACCCACATCGCCATTCACCCCACTCGCCTCGCCTCCCTCCCTCCGTCAGCAAGACGTCAGCTAACCCAAATGAGCCAAGGCCGATGCTAGTGGTGCTAGTGCTGGTGACACTCGCGCGCCACCGTTGGATCCCACCCCAGGACCCGCCATGGCATTACCTATGTTGCAAAACGCATGTTTGAAGTGTTTCGATGTATGTTTGAGATATTTCATACGGATGTTGCAATGGTAGTTTTGGATGTTGCATGTTGTTGTTGTTATACACGTATGTTGCAAGAGTTTGTTCAAAATGTTTCATCTGCTTTTATACGCATGTTACAAGTGTTTTATCTGGTGTTGCATATATATTACAATCGCTATGCCGCAAATGTATGTTCCAAATGTTTGCCCTCAAACGTATGTTGCAAATTGTTTCATCCGAGTCTTGTAAAAGTAGATCTGGATGTAGGGTTCTTGAAGCGAGGAAGAAAGAGCTTGGCATGGGAGCCATGGCGGCGTCGATGTGGGGAGAAGGCGCTGGCAAGACAACGCTAGTGTGGAAGAGGCGGGAGTCATCCAAGCGGCATGGAAGAGGTGGGCGGGCGCCTGTGAAAGAGACGAGGCCCGAGTCATCCGAGCGACGTGCTAACGGAGGAAGGAAGCGGTCCGAACGCCGGCGCGGAAGCTGAATCGCACTGGCGCAAATCCGAGAGACTGTAAGTGAGCGGACGCAGACGTCTCTAACGCACGCACTATCCGGATATCCGAGGCGCTAGTCTTTCCAATAATTATAAGTAAATATTAGCAATAATATCACAATGCCATATTAATTTTGTATCAAATTAAAATATAATCTTGATATGTTTTTTCTTTTGTTGATATTTATGATACCAAATAAGTATCATTAGTTTCTTAATTAATTATATTTTTATATTATACTTATTTGATTTCATAAATTATAATTTTCTCTATAATTTTGGTCAGATTTGAGATATTTTGACTCTAAAAAAAGTTGGAAAGACTTATAATTTGGAATGACTTATACTTTAGGATGGAAGGAGTATAAAACATGGCGCCTTTCTAAAAATCCAAAATTTCAATTACCCAGCTCATGCTAACCTCCAATCCAAGATATAACAGTATGAATGAAAGAGACATAACACATCACGCCTCAAACCCGTCACTAGATCCACACTCCTTTTTCCCTCAATCAGATCCTTAAATACAATAGCATGTGTATAAAGAAGCTCATAATTCACAAAACAACAAACACCAACCAGCGCCATTACCCCACGCCGGTCATCTTGCTCCTCCCCCATGTGCGATAGCTGTCAGTCGTCGCCACCATGGTGCTCGATGCAAGCCAAAGACTCACAGGGGAACCCTCTCCGTGATCCTAACGTGGCGCCGCTCGTGTGTGTGCTCTCGGCAAATGGTTCATGGTGTTCACGAGCATGCTCATCATGGCAGCCTCCAGCACAACGTACATCTTCGGGAGCTACTCCGGCACGCTCAGTCGTCACTCGGGTACAACCAGCGCACACTCAACACCATCTCATTCTTCAAGGACCTCGGCGCTAGCCTCGGCGCCTTCTTGGGCTCATCAACGAGGTGACGTTGCCGTGGG